TATATATATATATATATATATATGTATATGTATATGTATATGTATCAGTGCGCTCTGCCCATGTTTCTGCGGGCATTCTTCATATAGACTATTCTTTACACTATTCCTATGATCCAAAAAAAAAACAACAACGAATCAATTACATTATTCTGTTTCTTGTTTCTTCTTGGTTAGTTCCACCTGCGTCAGTCCATTTATTTTCACCTTGCGGTGGCTGTCAGGCGCCCAGAGGGACATGGGGAGCTGGCTCAATGCAAATTTGCCAGCAGCGCCATGATCCCCGCGCCGGCCCACACCGCAAGGAACATCGCGAAAATTCTCCAGCCACGGTGCGACGTCCGCATACCCGCGCACCTCTGTAGATCTGCAGGGAAGTCGTTCAGCAAGAGGCCGAAGCCGATATAGAGGAGAATGCCACCACCAATGGCATTGACAACCGCTTGCAACGTCACGAATGTCGGGCCTGTCATGGAGACATTCGAACCCTTTACAGAAATGAGACCGATGGCCGTTCCCACTGGCACCGAGAATGAGAAGATCAGCGCCAGCGCCAGCTCCGCCCCTGCGTGCATCGACGCGTCAGCCAGCCGCGAGCCCAGTGCAAGGCCCTCGAACAGTTGGTGGAAAGACAGTGCGACAAGCAACGACTTGGTGTCCGCGTCGTTCCCTATCCCCACCGAGAGTCCCAAGAACACACTGTGTAGTGTCAAGCCGAATTCCATCAACAAGGCAGCCACGATGCGCCGCGCACCTGTCAGGCTTTTTTCTCCAGCATTGCCACGATTTTGGCAGCAGCCTGTCATTTCACAAATTTCCCCTGACTGGCTACCACATCCCTTCATGCCGCACGGCCCTCTTATCGGGTCGTTTTCCATTTCGTACTCAGCTGGTCCCACGACCTCAGAGGGATCTTCCCTTGCGCATTGACAAGCTGACCAATTCTGAATCAGGACATCCAACAGCACGTCCAGCATGTGCATCAGCAGTGCCGAAACCAGTACGAAGAGCAACGTGTACGCATCATAGGTGTCAGGCTGAAGCGCTTTCGGAATGCATTCCTCCTGGAAGCTGTGCCAGCTGTGGTTGATCATAGTGAGTAGGGCAACGGCCATTACCACACCGGTGGAGATGCACTTTGCAAGAACAACAACAAACGGGTTCATCCGAAGAGCAGGTACATACTTTCCGGCAACAGGAATAGCTGTGCCGACAAATGATGCAGCCAAAAATATAAAGATAGCCAAAACATGCAGCTTGATAGTGTAATCGCCATGCATGGCACTGCAGCCACCGTGATGGTGGCCGCCATGAGCGGCTCCTCCTCCACCGTGCCCACTGTCATGACCGCCTCCTCCGCCACTGTGCTCACTGCCATGACCGCTTCCTCCTCCACCGTGCCCACTGCCATGACCACCTCCTCCGTCACTGTGCTCACTGCCATGACCGCTTCCTCCTCCACCGTGCCCACTGCCATGACCGCTTCCTCCTCCTCCTCCTCCTTCGCCAATGCTGCTTGAGCCCATCATATCGTGGTAGCCTCCAGCAGCCACATTAGCGATCGAGGCGACTGTCCACAAAAACTCAGCGGGGTTGTTTCCGACCATTTTTTTCTGTGGAGTGAGTACCCAACAAAAAAGTCGACCAGAATATTAGCTTAGATAAGTGCAAAAATTAATATATTCTTTTCATACACAAACGGCATCAATTGCAATAGTGTGNGAGGGAGAAGCCGAGAAAGGCATTTTAAACAGAGAAGGGGAAAACAAATTGAGGCGTGGCTCGCATTCCTCAATCAATGTCGTGGCAGTAGGCGAACATGGTGTAGGTTCCCCTCTTTGTACCAACAGGTATAACAACAGAGCGCGACGAAATGGCCCCCTAAAGAGCTCTCGCGGGAATGGGCAAAACAAAACAAGCAAAAAAAAAGCTCTGACAAAGAAATCACTTGGAGATACACAAAAATTCGTCTTACCTTTGTACACATTCGCTCTCAGGTCATTATGGTGTTTCCAATAAAAACGAAAAAAAAAAAAAAAACACCAGTAGGGTTAAATGCTCTCTCGGTAAACACGACGATACCAGTTTTTCTCAAAGACGACTTCATCGTTCATCCTGGCCGTAATTTCCGCCCATATGTGAAGGTAGTGCATGTCACAGGTCTGGCGGGTGTTGATGTCGATGTCTGCCTGCCATCCAGGACGCCCCATCTTCATCTTCTGTACGATGGCGTACCTCGCTGAGAGTGGATCCTTGTTAGAGAGATGCAACTCGCGTCTCAGGTTATGCTCCACCGTGGTATCGATTTCGTCAAAGCGGTAGACACCCTCGCCAAACACGCCACCTACGCCATCGGTGATGCACGTCCACTCATCCTTAGTGATGTCGTACGTGACGGAGCGATCCACGAAACCCGGGCGGAGGAGCGTGAGTGGTGTGGGGGGAGCCGTTTCGGGCTGCGGGTTCGGGCCGTCAATGGCCGGGCCATTGTACACAGGCAACACCAGCTCCGACGTGCTCAAGTCCAGCGACAGGGTGTTGACCTCAGGCGAGACCCAGAACATTGGCCAGAAGCTGTTTGCCAGAGCAAGGCGCATGCGGTGGCCTTTAGGGAAACGGTGGCCGCAGTAATTCAGCAGCACCTTGACACGAACTTTTTTCCCTTCCTGAAGGTACTCAATTTTTTGATCACTCGCGGCGTGCGTTAGGTTCTTCACGCCAAATGATACACGCTTGATGGCCCCATCAGGGGAGACGTCACTGAGCTGTGCAAATAGCATGGACTTGGGTTTGTCACACGTAAGCTCAACCTCGAAGGTGGGACGGCCCAAAATTTCCACTGCATTCTGCAACACGGGCCCGTTGAATATCATCGCCATACCGTCATCGATGCGCTGGTCAGCAGGGCTTTCGCCAGAAACCCCTGCGCCCATCCACTCGCCAGCCAGCAGACCGTGATTTAGCGGCGTCTTGAGCTGAACAAGTTCAGACTTCTGTCGCACTGCGGCCTCGGATTTCACAATTCGACTGTACTCGAGCCACATTGTCTCTTTACTGACATCTTTGGCGGGCCACGCCTCCACCCCAACCCAGTGCCCCGTACTGACAGGGCAATGAACATCAGGTGCCATGTGGTGCTCCATCCATGCCTGAATCATCGGACCGTCCATCACGCCATTCTCCTTGCCTTTCAGCCAGTGGTCCCACCACCTGATGGCCTCCTGAAGGAAGCCAATGGCCGGCGTGGGGGTGCCATCCTGGGGGTAGATGTGCGCCCACGGACCCACGAGCCCCTTCCGTGGGACCTTAAGGTTCGCCAGAATGTTGAAGACAGAGTTGGTGTATGAATCTGCCCATCCATCCACCGCCAAAACAGGGACTTGAATGGCATCATAATTTTCGCACACCGATCCATGTTTCCAGTACTCATCGTACTTTTGGTGTTCGGCCCAATCAGCAATATTTATAGGCATGTTTTCAAGGCGTTGAATCCACATATCTTTCCAACGCTCCCCAACAATAACGGGATCCACCGGACGTGACTGGTAGGCCAGCATGATTGAGCCCCACCAAAAGTTGTCATTAAGCAGACAGCCGCCTTGCCAGTGAATATCGTCTGTGAAACGGTTGTCGGTAAATCCGACTGTTATGATTGCCTTCAGCGCCGGCGGCCGGAGTGCCGCAACCTGAACCGAATTGAAACCTCCCCAAGACTTCCCCATCATGCCAACACTGCCATTGCACCATGGCTGCTTGGCAATCCAATCAATGACCTCCAATGCATCATCCTGCTCCTGCTTAAGATACTCATCGTGCATGAGACCGTCCGACTCACCACTGCCACGCATGTCTACTCGAACAACAGCATAGCCGTGGCCGGCGAAATATCCGTGCATTGGTTCATCACGAGTCCGTGTGCCGTCACGCTTACGGTACGGAATGTACTCCAATATGGAGGGTCGTGCTGCACCGTCTGCTGGAAGCCACAGGCGGCAAGAAAGACGCGTTCCATCCCTCAGTGTAATCCAATCGTTCTCAATTACTTTGACTTCATGAGGAAGTGCATAGGCAATACGCTTCTGCATGGTAACGCTCAAAGATCCAATGGAATGACCAGATCAGACCGAATGTAAGCCTTCAGATGAGAGAAATAAAAGGAAACAATGAACAAATAAAAGATGCGTATAAAAAAAAAAAAGAAAGAACAAAAAAAAATAAGAATTAGAGGTGTGCGATAAAATGGACGCATAAAGAACCCAACAGCAGCGGCACCATCAGCATCCCCAGTAGCGTAAAAACAGAAACACGGAAAAACGCCTCGTCCTGTGAAATCCGCACGCCACTCCGCCACCTCACCATCATTCAGCCCAACAACTACACACTCACTAGTCCTCATAGATGCCCAAATTCTTCATAATCCGCGTTAACACAACTTTATCCTCTATCACTCGGTAGTGATGCAGGCGTGTGTAAAGGTTGGCGTGCCCCTTCACTGCCTTCCGCAGCTCCATCGTGTAGCGGACAATGTTACGCATCGGAAGAATTGCCTTAACCGATTTCCCATCATCTTGTACGTCGACTGTGATGGCCTTTCGCTCGTTCAAGGAGCTCACGACGCTCCCAATGTAGGTTGACTCGGACAGGTGCACCTCTACTTCCATCATCGGCTCAAGTGCGGCAAGACTTGCCTTGGGGACGGAGCGGAACAACTCCAACACGAGGGAGCGGGCTGCCTGCGAGAGAGGCCGCTCCGCCAGCTGTGTGCCACCGATTTTCTTGAACGACGTCAGCACCACCTGCACGCCGTGGAGCGGCAGGCCAGCGAGTGGCCCCAAGTAGGAGCAATCCGTGACGGCACTGGTGAACACCGAGGTGATAAGCCGCAGCTCCTCCTTGGCGTTGCGCCGATGGTCCTCCATGCGGCGACGGCGATCACCGGGGGAGCCGGCAGCGGCTATGGCTGCTGCATTAAGGAAATCCTCGGCGAGGGTCTCGTCTACCACAAACTGGCATGTCTGGTTTGGGGCGCAGGAATCATCCGCTTCAAGCAGCGGCCGCAAAAGCAGTGAGCACGCCACATATGGAACTTCGTTGTACATCCCTACCACGTGCTGCAGCTCCACAGACTCTCTGACCACCTCACGGTACTCTATAATTGCACGCAGAAGCTGGCATTTGAGCTGATACTCATTTTCCAACCGCGACATAATGATCTCAAGGTGAAGCTCCCCCATGCCACTCAACACCATCTGCCCAAAGTCATTCTTGTGTACGTGAAGACTTGGATCTTCGAAACTCAGCTCCTGCAGCGCCGACTCCAAGAGGGGAATCTGCTGTTTTGTGGCAGCCTCAACAGAGAATGAGATCACAGGCGGTGGAGCGTCAATACCCTCCAGTGTAAAAACTTCACTTGCTGGGTCCCTATCACCAGATAGAATGTGTAGTGGTGCGCGTAAAAGCGTGGCGCCTGTTTTTGTGTTTTGCATGAAAGCCGCACCAATCTCTCCAGCGATAAGGTGTGGTACCTCTACTGGACAGTTGGCATGCATCACATACAACTTCTCAATGTTCTCGTGACGATTGTTGTTGTTGTTAACAAGTACCGACCTGGGCGTCAGCTTACCGCTATACACACGAAAAAATACCAACGGCTGTCGCCGTCCCTTTGGATTCATCGCGTGTGTCACTTTGAACGCCAGCGCCACAACAGGCACGTGTGGCGCAGTGGTGACGGGCGGAAGCTGCACCACTCGTCTATCACGTGCGTAACCGGTGAGCGGGCGGTCGAGCGGCGACGGCAGGTAGTGCGTGACGGCGTCAAGCAGCGGCTGCACACCTTGATCGCGTCGCGCGGCCCCGCACAACACCGGCATGACGGGCTGCGCGACATCTTGCCGCAGCGTCTGACGCCGAATCGCCGCCCGCAGCACATCGCACGGCACGAGACCCTCAGCCTTCTGCTCGTCGCCGTCGGCCGCGTCGAGTGCGGCAATGACGGCGTCCGACAGAGCGTCATCGAGAGCGGTCAGTGTAGAGAAGAGCGCGTGGCGCGCCGCCAGTGCAGACTGCACGAGATGCTCCGGCTCGCTGCCCGGCACACGCAGGTCCTTCAACTCAACGTCAGAGCCGTGGTTGCCGCCGAAACGGCACGCCGTCATCTCGATCACATCCATTACGCCGTCAAAGCTACCGTCCTCGGCCACGAGTGGGAGTTGCAGCAACAGAGGCTCCACCTCAAGCTTCATGCGGATGGACTCCACGGATTTCTTGAAGTCCGCGTTGTACTTATCCATCTTGTTCAAAAATCCAATAACAGGGATGCCGAACTTTCTGCTTTGACGTAACACTGTGTAGCTCTGCGCCTGCACCCCGGCGGACGCGTCAAATAGCGCAACAACGCCATCCACTACCCGCATCGCCCGCTCCACCTCCACTGTAAAGTCGATGTGGCCGGGTGTGTCGATGAGGTGAATGTCATGGCCTCGCCACCGCAGTGAGACAGCGGCGGACTGAATCGTGATGCCGCGGTCCACCTCCTCCTTCATGAAGTCCGTCGTGGTCGTTCCGCTATCAACGTCACCGACGCGCTTCAGCATGCCCGCGTAGAAGAGCATGCGCTCGGTGGTGGTTGTCTTGCCGGCGTCGATGTGTGCCACGACGCCAATGTTGCGCATGCGCATGATGGACGCCTCCAATGCATCGGCTTTGCCGCCAAACGACGTCGGAACCGCCTGCGACACGCAACTTGTGAGCCGTCGCACCGTCACACTCGCCGTACAGCGCCACTGCGCAGCACCGCGTCTCCAGTGGTGGAGAGCGCATGGTTGTCGAAGCATCTTGTTTTTTGTTGTTGTTGTGCTGGAGCGGGCGGGGAAATGCGGGTGAGGGGCAAGGGGCGCACGGCTCCTTCACCTACCGTGACGACCAGCGCAGCAGCAGGAGGAGAAGAAGGAGGAGGAGGAAAACAGACGAAGCGGCAGGAGGTCACATACAGAGGCACACTCGTATACACCAACACACAACAGACAAGGAGGCCAACAAAACGGTGACGACGGACTTGAAGGGTAGGGGGCCGGTGGTGCATGTTGCCAGCCGTCAACACACCGGCAAAACGGACAACTGGCCCGATCCATTCATTCATCCACACACCACAAGGATCGGCCCCCACGGAGATGCACCTTCACGTTCTCCTCCTCTTTACGAGGACAAAGGCTGTGCTCTGGCAGCTTCTGAAAATAACATTATTCCCAAAGCTCGCACAAGACATATTTTACTTTCATTCCTATTTTCTTCTCTTGATGTCTTTCTGGTTTACGCGTCTGCAGCACTCTGCCACATGATCTCCCACCCACTCTCCGTGAGAAAAAAAAAAGCCCTACCTGTTTCTTTCTTTTTTCCATTGTTGTTTATCCTTCTTTTTCCATTCTTTTTTGCGTTCACTAAGTCAGCAGTCTCCCCCTCCCTCTTTCCCTCACCGCTGCGATTTGATGGCATTCTCCTAATTCAACTTCCTGCCCGCCATTCCATCAATAGCAGAAATCTTCTTAATGCGCTGCACATGCCGATCCACCCCGCTGAACTGAGTCTGCAGGAACGTAATGATCGCCTCGCGGATCACCTCCACACCGGTGGTACGCTCCCCCACGCAGATGATGTTTGCGTCATTGTGGATGCGCGACATGGCGGCGGTGTAGTGGTCGTAGCAGAGGGCGGCCCGCACCCCCGGCACCTTGTTGGCAGCGATGCACATGCCAATGCCACTGCCGCACGCCAATATGCCGAAGTCCACCTCGCCACGCGCCACCATTTCCCCCACACGCACAGCGTAGTCGGGGTAGTCGACGGGCTCTGCCGATAGCGGGCCGCAGTACACCGGCACGAACTCGTCACCCGCATCCTTCACGTACAGCATCAGGTTTTCCCGGATGCCGTACCCCGCCTGGTCCGTCCCGATTGCAACCTTTCGTGTTGGCTTTTCCATATTTCTTTTTATGCGTGTGCGTATATATATGCGTATTAGAGACGCTTGTCCCTGCTGTCACCCTTCTGCTACCGAAGCACTGGTGTGAATGGCATCACAACGGGGGGAAAATGCAAGCATGCGACAAAGCTCTCTACATATGTATGTGTGCATGTATGTATGCACGCATATCCAGTGGGGATGAATGGTACTCAATGTGCACAACACGACTAAAGCCTCCTGGTGGTGATGTAGAAAAACATCAGCCTTGAACCAAGATAAGCACCAGAGATATACAGCCACTCTGAGGGCGCTTAAAAACATATTGATATAGATATGGACGTTTGTGCAGATAAAAGAGTCTTGGATGCAAGCTCCTGTTGTAATCATTCCTACTCTCTGCAGATTCCCTTCTCTCTCCCAGCGCGCCAGCAAGAGCCTATCACCAATGTTTGCCTCGCATCACCGCACCAAAGAAACAAAAAAGTTCTGCCCCAGCCCACCCCACCCCAGCCTCCACGCGTCCTCTGCAGGGCA